TTAAACAATGAAAAATCAAAAATCATATCATAGTGGTGAATATATGACATTAATCTAATTATGTAAAAATTGCAATTCAATTGGATTTCGTGACTGTTATAATTATAGTGCTTTGCAAAAAGATGTGACCCCATGATTTTTGTGATTATGAACAAGGAAAATTTCTGAGATTTCTTAATTCATATTTTTGATCAGTCATATTTATATTGTAATATTCTTAAAATATACAGAATCTCCAATTTTCACATGATGTGATCTGCAGAGGTTACAAATTTGCAAAATTCTGGACCCATTATCACTCCACAATCGATTGTGATTGCGGCAAAGATATGAAACCAAATTGTGTTTATTTGTATCCGGCTTGAGTTCTTTTTTTAATTTTTTTTTTAAGGGAGGTTTTTTAGTGCATCCTTGCTATATCTCAAAATTTTACTGGAGTAACTCTGACCCTATTGTGTAATTAACAAAAAATGTTCCTCTTGCAATTTTACCTAACTCTAACCCTAACACTAATTTTTTATTATATAGATTCAAATTCAAATTTTACTATAAAATGCACTATAGTATAGAGTGCATTTTTTTAACTAAGTGTTTAATTTATATTAACTATTTGTTTACAGAATCACATCATTAGAGTCAGAATACTGTTAACTATAACATGATTACGTTATAGTATTAAGAATTGTTGAAAAAATACATAAGAAATAATGTCCAGAATTCTGCGGTGCATAATTCTGCTTGCTCTAAAAATATTTTTTTTTGTATTGTATTTGGTTTTAAAAAATAATCAAAGTCACATTTATCTTATAGAGACAATACAAAAAGATATTTTTAGAGTGAGAAGAATTATGCATTGCAGAATTCTGGACACTCTAATAAGAATTCGAAAAATTTGAGGATTAAAGTAAATTAGAAAGATTAATTATTTTACTTATCTCTTAAACTGTTTTCCAGAAAAATTTGTCTGGAATTTTTAAATTATTTGATAAATTCTAATATATCAACTTTTTTTAAAAAAAAATCGCCAACTGTTTTCCAGCCTGGAAATTTTATTATCAAATGATTGGTTAGGTTTATCCGGTCTTGGAAAATCATACATTAGGAGGCTTTTACTTATTACTATTGCTTGTGTATACCAATTTTTTTGATCTTTTAAAATATTTTTTTACAATTGGTTTGATTCACTTTTAAGTTTGTACATACGTCATTTTTATAGCTTTTAATAAATGTATTTAATTTTATAAATTGAAAATTATTATTGCTCAGATATTGTTCTTTTGAATCGAAATTTATTCGTTATTAAAGAATTTCTTTTTTTTTAATAATAAGTAAATATGTTTAAATGATGATATGTATTCATGATCTAGTAATCATCTATATATATATGTAGAAAGTCGAAATTGTAAAAATAATAAAAATGTCTACTCAAGTACAATCTCTACTTCACTATCTGAGACCGTTCACATTATTTGGAGGCAGCTGTAATTATCTGAAAAATTAAAAATGAATAGTGGAATAAGGCAACATCCATAATTTACGTTAAACCAATACTGTATTGTATAGAAATAAAGACCTTGAGTAGAGGTCCAATCCGGATAAATCCATCATCCATTTATCCATATCTGAATTTATCTGGATATCCATTTACTATTGATATCCGAATATCAATAGTAAAATGGATATCCGAATAAATTCAGATTTGGATATCCAATAGATAAATAGATAAACGGATAATAGATAGAAACTCTAACCTTGAGAATAATACCATATGGTATTATTTTTGTATTATCTTTTAACAATACTAGTTTAACGTAAATTATAGATGTCGCCTAAATGAAATTTAGGTCCAAAATCATCTAGCCTAATAATATTAGTAATTAGGGAACATCCATAATTTACATTAAACCAGTACAGTATTGTATAAAAATAGAGTCTTTGAAGATAATTTCATAAGTATTATTTTTGTATTATCTTTAAGATCCCTATAACAGTGCCAGTTTAACGTAAATTATAGACATCTTCTTAAAATTTTAAAGAACTTTTTATTTTTTTAAAGTAAATATTGGATTAAATTTTCGTTCAAAATTTATTGCCTATAAAAAAGCTATAGTCAAATTTTTTTTGAATATTTTTAACAACCAGCTATTATTTTAATGTAATTCAGAAAAAAATAAATTTATCAAATCCGGATATCTGTTTTTCGAGAAATATTCATTAAATATTAAATAAAACTTGAAACATTTCTAAGTTTTTTTTTTTTTAAAAAACCTTTAAACGAAGATTTCTCAACAGCCAATATCAGAATTTGATATAATTTTTATTTCTATGAACCTACAGAATTAAATAAAAAAATTCATAAAATTCGGATAGCTGGTTGTTTAGAAATCTTTATTTAAAGTTCAAAGAATGCCACATGGCACAGAGGGGCTGGGAAACACCACAGGTAACGTATACAGCAACGAAGTGTGCTAACTCACAGGATCTCTGCAGAATGATAACTCTGGCCTTAATTATGTGACAGATCCTAAGGTGTCTAAGGACCTTCAGGATAGCGGAGAGAGGTAAAAAAAAAAAAAAAAGTTCAAAGAATGCTGATTTTAGTTTTTTTAATATATTTTTTTAAAAAAAAAATTTTAGTAATAATTTCTTGATGACATTAAATGAAATTCAGTGAACTTTCTTTTGTTTTAGTTCTAAAAAACTTTAAAATTAAAATAAAAAAATTTTGCTGATTTGATAAGCAAGTATTGAGAAATATTTGCTAGATGTTTAAAAAAAAAAGCTTTGCTAAGAATATCGCATGATCATTGATTATTAGGAATTTCGTAAGATGCCATCTGTTATCATTATAGATCTTCACTTACAAAATAAGCATCATGTCCAATTTAAATTTACAAACTATACCTACAGAATCTCTTGATCTTGCTCTCATTCTACACAATAAAATTGAGTTGAAACGTGGACTGGAGATGTAAAAGCTGAAATTAAAAGTTTTTATGGTGCAATTGAACATGCTTTACAAGATACTTCACTTGATATTCAAAAACAAGAAAAACTAGAACATTTAAAGGAAGCGCCTGAAAATGTGATAAATATTATTTTTAATCAGATTATACTATTATAGTATGATAGAGTTTACATTATTTATGTTGCAAACACAGCTTAGTAAGAATTCAATTATGAATTGTTGCAACGAGCACAACTCAGTAAAGATGTTTTTAAACTGGTTTAAAATATTATTGAAGTAAGGTTGACCTTGTTCTATTAATTATCTTTGGAATTCTGGATTGGGGCTGGCCTTGTTATCTAATAAGTTAAAAGGCATGCTGATATTTCTGACTTAGCTTTATAAATTTATCTAGCATTTTAATTTATAATTTAGGTAAAAGCTGCTGTATTAGCGATAAGTTCCTTACATGAAAATAATAAACTTGCTATTTCTTCTCCTTCATATAAAAAAGAGGACAATCAAAATGATATTTGTATGCATATCTCAAATTTAAAGAGTATATTGGAAAGTACTATCAGCTATTATAATTTAAAGATGAGACTAACAATATGGTTATTTTTGAAGAATAATATGATTTTAATTTTTTAAGTTCCATCACTAGATGTGATTAACTTTGGCTTGAATAAACTAATAATTTGTATTTTATAACTCTAAAAATGTTTATGTTTTCATTACCATATTTTCATGTAACAACGTATAATACTCACCTGCGCGTTATTTCGAGTAAGCCATGAGCATTATTTTGATACAAAAAAAAAATATATCAGAACTAGATTTTGTATTAAGTGAACCTTCCTTCGAGCTTAACAAAGGTTGTTCTTTAGAACAACTTTTGTTAAGCTCAAAGGAAGGTTCACTTAGTACAAAATCTAGTTCCGATGTATTTTTTTTTAAAATCTTACTATAAATAAAAATCTCTTATTAAGGAAAGTGTGCAATTTTGGGACGCACATGTGCATTATTTTGAAACTATATAAATAATATAACTTACAAAATTAAACCAAATCATATTATAAGAATTTATATAAAAATTTCATGCAAATTATTTATTATTACTTAAAGATATTGAAGATTTTGAAGCAAAAGAATTAATCTTATATTACAGGAGAGAATTACAATTCGAATTAGAACAATGCCCAAAGAATATTATAAGATTTATAGAAATCTTTGTCAAAATTATATTCATTAGTACTTGACAAGCATACCGAATAATTGATTGTAGGGGGCAATTTTTCTAGCTCAATTAATTGATTGGTGGAGCAGTCACAATTAGTCAATTAATTGCAATTTTTACATAATTAGATTAATGTCATATATTCACCACTATGATATGATTTTTGATTTTTCATTGTTTAA